CTCTCTCATGAATGAAAAACAGAAGAAATACCGTATTAGAAGGAAAAAAACCTCCCCAGCTAGAATAGTATACATGACATATTAGAAAGGACTATAGACAATACACACAAGTAGAATGTATTTTTTCATGAGTAAACACTGTGTGTGACTTTGTGTAACTACCAATGACAGTTGGCAGTGCACTGACAACTTGGCTAGGTTTGGCAGCATCTTATACCTATCATAATTATGTCCTGGAAAGACTAACTAAACTGCTAAAATAGAGGGACTTACAGCTCAAGGTGAGTTCAAAAGCTATGAGGATCAAAATATATGGTTACATGCTAAAAAGCAGACATGCAAGAAATTAAAAATATAGCCTCAAAGGTTTAATGTTGCCTTTTAACTGTGCTTAAATTCATATTCATATCCTAACTGTCTGTCTGAAGTAGCCTGGGTTGATATAGTGAAGGTATAAACATATCTACTTCTAGTGAGTGCTTCTGCAAATCCTATTTTGATAAGGTCTTAAATCTATTGAGATCAGGCCATAAAATTCCCCTGCAGTTTCAGCAATAGGTAAAAACAGTGCTCAACAGTTTTTTTTCTTTTAATTTTGCATTCAGACTGTGTAACCTCCATCTGTAAATCTCTTTCCCCCTACCGCCTGGGGAAGAATATGGACAACATGTGGTGTGTTAGCAACATTTCAAGTGTAAATATTAAACTTGGTTGGTAAATTTTAATTTACCTTTTAATAATTTTTTAACTTCCATGAACTATTTTTAGCATAGGAGCGCTTAGAGGTTTAGTGAAAAATTTGTTGTAATAACCGCAAATGCCAGGCAAGCATTGTAGTTGAGAAATTTATCAGATAATAAGTTCTTCATCAGTGGCTTTTACTTCTGAGGTGATAGGTGGAATTCAGGGCTAGGGAGGACTGAAGGTTTTGCTAATGTGATTCACGCCATGAAATTACTTACAGAATGCCAACAAAATGCATACAAATGTTCCCTGAAGAAGAGGCCTATTAAGTTTATTCTTCATTTCTGATAGCAGCATCCCAAGTTGCTATTTAATTTCAGAAAACTTCCTTTAGCAGGTGGCTGTTTATGGCAGGCAGGGTGTGTACTGTTACGGTTACTGAGAGTGCTGAGCTATTATAAAAGCCTGGGAAGATAAAATTTAAGACAGAACCACCCAGCAGAACATTTTAGTCCTTAAACTCCTATGTGTTTTGCTGTTGATACAGAAATCTATCCTTTGAAGATGACCTCTGAATGGAAATGTGCTCTGGAAAAATCCCTTATTGATGCTGCAAAGTTTCCTCTTCCAATGGAAGTCTTTAAGGTAAGATATCAATTCTTAACAACTTTTCTATTTTTTTCAAGCATAAACTGTCTAAAACATTTTCCATGTCACATTTTTCCCTACTTTTGAAAAAGCTACCTTCTTAGCCAGTCCTCATTTTCAGTGTTGAAATTTTATCTGTTCCATTTTGCTATCTTTTCCCCTTTAATCTTTCTAAATGCCCATATTCTAAGATGCTAATTAAAATTTTTTTAGGTTAACTTTTTCTTCTCCTTAATGTATTATTGTACAAATATTTTTACCTCCTTACCTTTCACTGGATAAATAAGTTGAATACAGAAAGTCTAATTTTGCTATTTCATCAAAAGGATAGAAAATGATGTTTCTCTTGGTGCTTCAGTTTTCATGGTGGCTAAGAAAACGTGTCCTGAACACTTACCAGGCATTAGACCTTCTGCCAGGTGCTCACACAAAGATGAAAGTCTACCAAACAGTTCTCAATTGAAATGGATTTCCAAGTTGTTAACATTTTCCCAATTATGCTTCAAACTTAGATGAATATTAAATTCTGGGCAAGAATGAGCCATTCAGATCAGAGGAAATGACCAAACCAGCTCTTCTTTTTTGGAACTTGCCTATGTGGAAAGGCCGCATCCCATATTACAATAGTTTCCTTGGGTACTTCTCAATCTGGTTGTGTTCAGCACACATTACCTTGCTTTTCAGCTGTGAGAAGGCTCATTCCCTCAGTGCAGAAGTTTCAAAGGGAAAGTGAAGTTTACGTGGTGTTTGAGGGACCATGGTTACACTCTGTGCATTGGGAGCCAGACCGCAGTCCAAATCCTGGCCCTGGTATCTTGAAAAACATTCCAAAAGCATGTGCTTTCTTGCCCCAAAGCCTGATGGGATAGAGAAATGGAGGAAAAAGTTTGCCATGTGACCATACCCCATTGGGTGGTGCTTTCTTTCTCCCTCTCACTCTCTGGCCAGTGTACTCACCGTTTAGCAATTTAAAAAAAATGGTATTTGGGTTTCACACACAGCTTGAGTCTCAGGCTTTGGTGGGATCATGGGCTTCCTAGACTTCGTTTACATACAGGTTCTCAGAATTTCAAGCAGTCATCATAAATCATTAACCTTTCTTTTTTGAGCACTTCTCTGGTTTATAAAACTGGACTTAGTAAAACCTCTTCTTAAACCTAACCATATGATTACTACTTTTATAAAGAATTATTTATTTAATTTTGTTTATTCATTCATTTATTTTAATTTGACCAGAGGCATGCACACACACACACACACACACACACACAGAGAGAGAGAAAGTGAGAAAGCAAGCCACCAGGTCCAAGACTCAAATGGTGGTCGACCATGTGGGAGTGTCCAGCGCCTTAACCACACCACCCACTGGCCCCTATAATTATGTTTTGAAGTTTGATTGAAAGATAATTTTTACAGTATTTGGAGCCTACTGTCCTCTAAAGCAGTAGGAATATAATAAGCTGTTAGCAGTAATAATGATTGACAATGAAACATTATAGGCAATTTTTTCTAAGTGACCAAATATTTCTTTCTCTTTCTTCTTCTGGCCTCTCTCCTCTACCTTTATTCTTTCCTTCCTTTCTTCCTTTAATTATATCCTCCCCAACCCACAAAAACATAACAGAGAAACAGCGTTTAATCTTTTGTACCCATCAGCTCTGTGCATGGGCACATGTGTGAGCCAACCTGTCCTGCTTATTCTGGTCACTTCTGCAGGTGATGCCCACTTTCTCCACTTCACAGTAGCTTTAGTGATAAACGCCTTAACTTGCAAATCCCTCTTTTTCCTTTCCTTCCTTCTTTATTTTCTCTTTTCTTTCTTTCTGCCTGCATGCTTGCTACTTTCCTTCCTTCCTTCCTTCCTTCCTTCCTTCCTTCCTTCCTTCCTTCCTTCCTTCCTTCCTTCCTTTCTTGCCTATGTGGAAAGGCCGCATCCCATATTACAATAGTTTCCTTGGGTACTTCTCAATCTGGTTGTGTTCAGCACACATTACCTTGCTTTTCAGCTGTGAGAAGGCTCATTCCCTCAGTGCAGAAGTTTCAAAGGGAAAGTGAAGTTTACGTGGTGTTTGAGGGACCATGGTTACACTCTGTGCATTGGGAGCCAGACCGCAGTCCAAATCCTGGCCCTGGTATCTTGAAAAACATTCCAAAAGCATGTGCTTTCTTGCCCCAAAGCCTGATGGGATAGAGAAATGGAGGAAAAAGTTTGCCATGTGACCATACCCCATTGGGTGGTGCTTTCTTTCTCCCTCTCACTCTCTGGCCAGTGTACTCACCGTTTAGCAATTTAAAAAAAATGGTATTTGGGTTTCACACACAGCTTGAGTCTCAGGCTTTGGTGGGATCATGGGCTTCCTAGACTTCGTTTACATACAGGTTCTCAGAATTTCAAGCAGTCATCATAAATCATTAACCTTTCTTTTTTGAGCACTTCTCTGGTTTATAAAACTGGACTTAGTAAAACCTCTTCTTAAACCTAACCATATGATTACTACTTTTATAAAGAATTATTTATTTAATTTTGTTTATTCATTCATTTATTTTAATTTGACCAGAGGCATGCACACACACACACACACACACACACACAGAGAGAGAGAAAGTGAGAAAGCAAGCCACCAGGTCCAAGACTCAAATGGTGGTCGACCATGTGGGAGTGTCCAGCGCCTTAACCACACCACCCACTGGCCCCTATAATTATGTTTTGAAGTTTGATTGAAAGATAATTTTTACAGTATTTGGAGCCTACTGTCCTCTAAAGCAGTAGGAATATAATAAGCTGTTAGCAGTAATAATGATTGACAATGAAACATTATAGGCAATTTTTTCTAAGTGACCAAATATTTCTTTCTCTTTCTTCTTCTGGCCTCTCTCCTCTACCTTTATTCTTTCCTTCCTTTCTTCCTTTAATTATATCCTCCCCAACCCACAAAAACATAACAGAGAAACAGCGTTTAATCTTTTGTACCCATCAGCTCTGTGCATGGGCACATGTGTGAGCCAACCTGTCCTGCTTATTCTGGTCACTTCTGCAGGTGATGCCCACTTTCTCCACTTCACAGTAGCTTTAGTGATAAACGCCTTAACTTGCAAATCCCTCTTTTTCCTTTCCTTCCTTCTTTATTTTCTCTTTTCTTTCTTTCTGCCTGCATGCTTGCTACTTTCCTTCCTTCCTTCCTTCCTTTCTTCCTTCCTTCCTTCCTTCCTTCCTTCCTTCCTTCCTTTCTTTTTTCTTTCTTTTTGCCTGCCTGCCTGCTTGCCTGTTTGCCTGCTTGCTTGCTTGCTTGCTTGCTTGCTTTCTTTCTTTCTTTCTTTCTTCCTTTCTTTCTTTCTTCCTTTCTTTCTTTCTTCCTTTCTTTCTTTAATTCTTTCTTTCCTCCTCCTCCTCTCTTTCTCTTTTTCTTTGCTAGAGAGCATATGTACTTCCTAGAGACAGAGAGATGGACAGAGAGAGAAAGGGAGAAAGCTCCCCGTAGAGCATGGGCACACCACAATCCCTTCTTCATCCTTTTGGGATTTGGGGCATGCACATAGAGCCTGGCATGCAAGCCTCTGGGACTAGGATTCAAACCACACAGTCAGTCATGTGGGATCTGGCTCCATTAACCACCACGTCACGGGACCAGCCCTAAATCCCTTACCATTCAAAAAATAAATTTTATTTTATGTGAAGAGTTCAAGGAATAAGAAAATAAAAATACAAGTACCTGCTATCTAGTCTAATAAGTATTTCCAGCCTGACAGAAGATCTCCCCATAGTCTACCCTGAAGCCCCTTTCTTTGCTTGGCCTTGGCCACCAAGATCCTAACTTCCATGTGAGTTCCTCCCTTGCTTCTCTTTCTAGTTTTCCTACTTATTTATGTTTTCCTAAATGTAATGCTATTTCCTTTTGACAAAACAAGACATGAGCACTGTCCTAATACTAGAAGAGGGCCCATTACCTATTTTGAGGAGGGAAGACAGCTGGTCAGCATCTGGAAAATCAACTGACTCTTCAAACTCTGAGTTGACAAAGGAATTCTGTAGGCAATGTCATGAGCTAGTTTTAAGAGAATTAGAAATTATCATGACCAGTCACCTGCCAGAGTTGGAGTATGAGCTCTTGGTACTGGACAAACCTTAGAAATATGGGCAGGAATCAGTAAGTTTACCTCTTCTGCTTTTGTGGCTTACTCTGGCTCTCAGGAGCAGGCCAGCAGAATGTTTCTGTTCAGTGAAATGATCATTTGCTGGTCCAAGCAGCTGGGCCAAGAGTAGGGCCTGGGAACTTCTCAGTACATGGTCAGAATGAGCCAGATACTGTTAACAATTGTGGTCTGACTTATTTGGCATTCTTTCTTCAGGTTGCAAAATGATAAAATACGGTCCACGTTTCTTTGTCACGTTGAGCAACTATAAATGCCTTTGTTCTGTCTTGTACTTTACTGATTGTTTTGTTATTGAATTCTAGGCAAGCTATCATTTGTCACAAGATTTGGAGGTTTTACTCCATGTTTTTTTTTTTTCCCTCCCCCTCTGGAATCACACTTTCTCTTTGTCTTCTTTATTCTGAATTTTCTGGAGTTGGGGGTGCCTTGATGTGTTTTTTTTTTTTTTCCACCCATAGTTCTGAGCATTCAGGTGTCTGAAAACTCATCCTTTTAATTTTAATATATATATATATTTTTTTTTTTGGAGAGGTTTTTCACTATAGGGTGCGTGCGCTCGCCAGACAGACAGAGAGAGACATAGAGACAGAAAGTGAGAAATCACCCCCCAGAGGGGATGATCACGCTGCAATCCCTTCTCCTCCATTCTCCTCTGGATCTTGGGCACACATGCACACGCGCCTGGCGTGAATTTTAAGCCACCGGGTCCAGGACGCGAACCATGGTCGACTACGTGGGAGTCCAACGACATAGCCATTATGCTAACTGCTGGTTCCCCCGTATATTTTCTTAGATTCTTATTAGGTCTTAAAGGAATATCTTTCATCTTGGTTTTATGTCATACT